GGATAGTTTTAAAATATATAAAGTAATAAAAATTTTTGATAGTTCTACTCTTAAAATTTCATGAGTTTACTTCTGGCTTTGTTATTTATACATATTTACTATATATTTTGTTTTATTTTACAAAAAGTAGGATCATTATGATATGGTTGAATATTTAGGCTGCTTTCAACTTTTTATAATATTATCCTGTGTTGAATATCTTTAAACTTAAGTGTTTGACCACATTTCTGATAAGCTCCTTAGAATAAACTTTTAGAAGAGTTAATAACTAGTTGAAGGTTATAAACTTTAAAAAAATCTCTTGATATATATTGGCAAATTAGCCTTCTGGAAGATTTATACCCCTAAAATCAATATGACAGGGTACCTACCAACCATTGATTTTGTCTTTAACAGTGAACAAAAACTAATTTTAAAAATCCATCTAATGAATCAGTTCTCAAAATACTTGTCAAACCAAACTAGCCTTTATTCTGTTAGAGTCTGTTTTAAATTGACTCAATTTAAAGTCTTTAAGAGTTGACATGTGCGCTGGCTGGTGTGGTTCAGTTGGTTGGAGCATTGTCCCATATACTGAAAGGTTACAGGTTCAATTCTCAGTCGGGGCACATACCCAGGTTGGACATTTGATCCCTGACCAGGGCCATGCATGAGGCAAGGACTGATGTTTCATTCTCACATCGATGTTTCTTTCTCTCTCTCCCCCTCCCTTCCTTTCTCTCTCAAGTCCATAAAAGCCTGTCCTCATGTGAGGACAAAAAGAAAAAGAAAGTTCAAGTGTTTTAAAAAAAAGAACTGACATGACATAAAATAATGAAGTGATCAAGTGGAATAAATTAGGTAAATGATGATGAAGGAAAATGCCAATTAGCATCCATGTATGACAGAATATATTTCAGGAGTCCTTTATCTTATTGTAAAGCATTTATTAAGCACCAAATTACTTTTTCCCCACATCTTTATTGATACATAAAATGAAAAATAACATTGTGTACATTTAAGGTGTACAGTGTGATTGATACATGTATATATTGCTAAATGATTACCACAATAAGGTTAGTTAACAAAGCATCACTGCACATAATTACAATGTCTTTTGTGATGAAAACATTTAAGATCTACTCTTAGCAACTTTCAGGTATATAATACAATATGGTTAACTACAGTCATGATCTCCAGAGCTTATAACTGAAAGTTTATACCTTTTGACTAACATCTCCCCAATTCCCCCACCCTCTCCCCAGCACCTGGCAACTACCATTCTGTTCTCTTTTTCTGTGAGTTTGCTTATTTTAGATTCCACATATGAGGTCATATAGTATTTTTTTTTCCTCTGTCTGACTTATTTTTTTTAAGTTTTATTGGCATGTAATTTACATATCATACAATTCACTTCAACTGTACAATTCAGAGGTTTTTATTGTATTCACAGAGTTGTCCATCCATCACCACAATCAATTTTAAAGTGTTTTCATCACCCCAAAAAGAAAGCCTGTCCCCATTAGTAGTCACTCCCCATTTCCTCCTACCCCTTTTCCCCAGCCCCATGCAACCTCTGTTATCTGTCTATAGATCTGCCTATCTGGGACATTTTATATAAATGGGATCATATAGTATACCATGTTTGTAACCAGACTAATTTTGGCATGGTTATAGTACCTAAAGAGTTACACAAACACTGCCCCTGACCTATATTCTAAATTTCGTAATACTTTGAAGTTGGGCAGACATCATCTTAAAAATAAAAAAACAACTTTGTCAGGGAAGATCTTCAAATATATTCAAGTTAAGAGTAAGAATAAATGTTATAATGTCCTCCCTCCCCCAACGTACTTATCACTAACCTGCATGGTGATTCTTTTGGCCAGTTATTAACATATGGCCAATTGATTTAGCCATAGCATCCTCCTCTTTCCCTTTCCCACTGGATTATTTTAAAGCAAGTCTCAGATGTTATATCATTTCATCCATAAGTAGTTTAGAATCTATTTCAAAGAAATAAAGACTATTTTACAAGGCAAAACTATAACATTATTACACCTAAAAAATTAACAATAATTTCTTAATATAATGCAGTAACCAGTATTCATATTTTCTCAGTTGTCCCATAGATGTCTTTTCACAGTTGGTTTATTTCAAATTAGGATCCAAACAAGATTCTCACATTGCATTTTGTTGATATGCTTCAAGGCATTGGTTTTTAAGCCCGTAAGATTCCTCTCTTTTATCCCCTTGCCATTTATTTGTTGAAGAAATTTGGTCATTTGTCTTCCTCATTCTAAATTTTACTGATTATATTCTAGTAGAGCTCTGTTTTTATTTTCTAAACATGTCCTTCTAGCCCCTGTAGGCTTGATTAAAATCAGGTTCAATTTTTTAAAAATAAGACTATTTCATAGGTAGTACTTTGAACTTCTTATATCAGGAAGTACATAATGTCTAGTAGTCTTTCTTGTTATTCTTGATCAGTAGTAGACATTTTAATTCTACCTTCTATCAAATCCAGAAATCCCCTCAACAGTACTCTTTGCAGATGGTGACCTCCACCTCTGCTTATCTTTAAAGGAATCAGAATCTACTCCCTTCGGGAGGTTTCAATGGCCAGCTCGTTTAGGGAATCACGCGGGACTCATTAGAGGGGCACCAGTCTAATCACTGCAGCTGTGATTCTTAAACCTGACCACCCATCTTAGTCACCTGAGGAGTAGCCTTTAAAAAAACAAATTTATATAAATGGGATCATAGCACACATGCTGTTTTTATTATGGGCAATTTTACTGTTTCTCTCTCCTCCCCTCACGTTAATCCGCACCTTTATTCCCCACCTTCCCAGGTAATAACATAAGGTGCATGTTTCTGTATTTTTCTGTGTATAAAATCTTACGTAGATCTACATATAGTATTTTGGGGAGGATAATACAGGTGTGTGTTTTACCTCTTAACAGTACTTCATGAAAATCCCTCCAGGTCACTTGGTTTAACTCAGTTCATCCTTTGTTGCGGTGGGCAGTGCTTGATCCTGAGGATAGTGACGTCCTCGGTGCTTCTGCTGCAGATAGGGTTGCTTTCTTTCTTGCTCTGGCCACTGCCAACAGTGCCACATAAACAGATGTGCTTGCCCCTTGTTCCCAGGAGTAAAGTTGGTGAATAAGGGGACGCAGACGTTTCCAGTGTTCTGGCACTTCCAGATTGCTTTCCGGGAGACTGTGCCTTTTACACTCACAAGCTCTGTCTGAGTATATTCTCCCACGCGTTTGGAGGAAGCCTCTTAAAAACAAATATTCCTATGCTCCAGCCACAAAGATTCCGATTCTGTAGGTCTGTGGAGAGGCACAGCAAGCTGCATTTTTTAAAGCTCCTAGATGAATCGGGTGGTTTTAGAACCACTGTGTTTAAGCTCCAAGAAACATTAAAAATAATTGGTCTTCTAGCTTAATATCAGCAATATCACACTTTAGCTTGATAACGTGTATTAGAATCAAAATGCAAATGAAGACATGAATTGGTGATAGGCATAGATATATAAAATACAGGTCAAGGGCATGTGTATCTTCAGGATGGAAGGCTTAATTAGTGGTATTGGGGCAAGCCCCTTGAGAGTCACGGATCCAGTTTGGAGCAGCTCTTAACAGTCTAGCAAGATTCTGAGGAAGAGATAAAGCATTTAGTGATTGTTTAGAATTTAAGTGATTGAGAGAAGCTAATGGAAATAAAAGTGTTACACATACAAAATGTTGCCGAAGAGCTCCTGTTCATAATAGGAAGTGAAAAATGAGAGACTTTTAGAAGAGAATGAGAGAATTTTAATACTGGTTAAGCTACTTACAACCTGTCAGACCATGGGACTCACTTTTCTTTTATGTAAAATGAGGCAGTTTGATAGATGATTACTTGATCATTTCAGTTTTTAACTAGACTGGAGGTCGTTTCTTTGTCATCACAGACACCTTAGAGAATCACTATGTCAGAAAATGTCCTCTGTATATAAGTCTTGGGGCCAAGTCTGACAAAAGCAAAGTTAATTGTGTTTACAAAACTGAAAAGAGGCAAGTTGGGGACTTCAGCCATCTCTCCACAGAGCCCCTTCTCTACAAGGTTCTTCAAGGCCTATGCTGAGACACTTGTGGCCTGTAAGAAACTACCCATATTCTGAAACTCCTGTTTTACATTCCAGAAGCACATCCTCAATTAAATTCAGGGATGCATGTTTGTTATTTAATGAAACAACTCCTGAGTTTTGTGCTGCCAGGCTCAAAGAGAAGGGATGACTTCAACTCATATCTGTCTTTTCCTCCTCAGGCTCTGCAGATGGCGTGGGAAGGAGGTTGCACTCAGCCCCTGGCCTTGGCCTCTCAAAGACCCCAACAGCAGAAATGGAGCAGAGTCTCCATGAAGCCAGCACAGTGCCTGCTTCTCAGGTAGCAGTCTCCAGTGCTCAAGTACTGGGCGTGGGGTGGTGTTTTGGGGAAGAAATTGTGGAGAGAGGAATGCTTGGATTGGTGGTAAGGCAGGGGCATGGTAACGTGGGGCATTAGATGAAAACAAGGTCTGCGACTGAGCTTCTTTTGAATGAGGAGATTGCAACTTGAGCACTACTTTCAGATATATCTAATTCAGACTTCTACTAGTGAGTCTTCCCCTATTTTCTCCCACATCCCTGGGGACAGGGTCTGTGGGTAAACCACAGGTCTGCTGTTATGTGTTTGCCTGTGTGTGTCTGTGCATTTGAAGGCTATACCTTGCCAAGGCCCCAGCAGGGAGTAAGGGGAAGATGGTGGGTACAGTGCAGAGAAGTTTTGCTGCATCTCATGCAGTCTTGGTGGCACTGTTGTCTTAAGAGAGGGAGGAGGCCCAGTCTCTTCCCACAGTTTTGTAAGTAGGCTCAGTGTCTGTCTATTCAGACCACCCTCTTTCTCTTGGTAGGTGAAATACTGTGCAAGTGAAGGAGAAGAAGAAACTGAAGGTTGTAATTGGGGGGAAAGCCATGTGCACTCGGCAAAAATGAGGACACACAGTCATTATTTTATTGACACACATTTAGTTAGAGCCCAGAGGAATGTCCCTTCCCTGTGGCAGTTCTGCAAGATGTATTATAGGGTTCCCCAGGGCAAGAGGAGTCCTAGTAGCCTTGAGAGGAGTCTCTGAGAAGAAATGGCTCCTGATTTGGGTCAGAACTCATTTTACTAATCAAAGGAAGAGATGGGATGGAATGTCGTTTTGCCTTTTCCTCTCCACCCCAGTACATGACTGAGTGAGGTCCAGTGTGCTTTCAAGCTGAAATGAAGCAAAAAAAGAAAAATGATTTTAAAATCCTCCTTCTGAGGCCGTTCTTACATAATTAATGCAGTAATTTGTAGGTGAAAGGGACAGGGACACCCAAGTCAGCAGAGATCAACAAACTCAAACAGTTTCAGTGGTGGGCTTATTGTGCCTTTTGAGAATTTCACACACTTGCCCAACGCAAGTTGAGTTTTCATCACAATAGAGATCAGCAAGCAAAACACCAGTGCATTGAAACTTATTCACCAGGTTAGTTCAATAAAAATTTAAAAACAGCTTTTAAATATGTGGTATAAAAATTAAAAGGCACTAAAGGATATAGAGTGAAAACTAAGTCTCTGTTCTACCAGTCCTTCAGATCCAGTTTCATTAGTTCCTGAACTCTGAACAGTTTGCCATTCTTTTTGGAAAAGGTGGTCTTTGTGCCCAGCATTTCTTCTACACCTTTAATGCATGTAATGGCAAACTGTTATTGTCCTAGGAGATTTGGCTTTCTTTCTTTTGACTTCTGTATTATTTATTCATTCATTCTTTCTTTTAAACAAATGCTTATTGGGCTTATGTTCTAGGTACAGTGCCAGGTGCTGGGGATACAGTGGCTAGTAAGCTAGATGTAGTCCCTGCTCTCATGGGCTTTCTAGTCTACTGGAGGAGACAGAAAAATAAACAATTCTAAGATAATATGATAGGATTTAATGCTATTGAAGTATAATAGAAGGAAATCAAAACTAGGCTTGAGGGATCAGAGGAGGCTTCCTAGAAGAAGGACATATATATATGTAATAGGTAAAGGGCCCTGAAGCATATGTTAATGGAATTAAAAGAAGCCACGTTTGTATGGTCAGGTTAGAGTCTGGCAAGGGAAGGATGGAGAGAGTATGAACAAGGGTTGTGTCGTGAACCACAGTAAGGAGTCTGGGAGGGCAGAGGGAAGTGAACACACTGCAGGGCCATTCAGCAAGCAAAGATCAGGGGGGCTTGGTGCCTGCTGCCTGCATGTGGGGAAAGGAGAAGCAAAGATCCAATCCCGGAATTATGAGTTGACTGATGATATATTTGAGGGGAGAAATGTATACAACTTTGGATGTACACGGTGGGGTAAAAGTAGGTTTAAAGCCTAGCTGGTGTGGCTCAGTTGGCTGAGTGTCCTCCGTGTGCCAGGAGGTCGTCAGTTTGATTCCTGGTTGGTGCACATGCCCAGGTTGTGGGCTTGATGCCCAGTAGGGGGCGTGCAGGAGGCAGCTCATGGATGTTTCTCTCTCTCCCTCTCCTTCCTCTCTCTGAAATCAATAAAAGCATATTTTTTAAAAAGTAGGTTTACCATTCATACAAAAAATAATACAGTAATTAATAAATAATAATACAAGAATAAGCTGTTTTGTGTACTCATAACTGTAAACCTACTTTTGCCCCCTCCTGTATTAAGCTTGAGTGGAGATATCTTAGGCTTTTGGATGTGAGACATACAGGCTTGAAATTGAAGTTTGGGAATCACAGCCACTGAAAAGAGGAAAAGAGTAATTGCAAAAGAGAGGAGCCAGGACACAGCTGTGAACAGCATCAGACGGAAGGTGGTTCTTCTGAGGAACTCTAAAAGGAGACTTAGTAAAAAAGACCAGAGACAGAAGGGAAAACAGGGAAGTGTGGTGTCACTTTCTTCTGCCCAGAAGAAAGGAATACTTGGCTGTGTCACATGCTGAAAGGACCTGGTCCTCAGGCTGTATGGTAAATGCCTTTTGTGGGCCATGAGTATACTGATGAAACAACACAAATTCTGTCCTTGAATAGCTTGCAACCTTGTAAAGGAAATAAGATATACTGGCATATAGATTATTTTATTTACTACTTATTAAGTGCCTGTAATGTTCCAGGTGCTGTTCAAGGTGCTGGGGACACTGGAGTGAAAAGAAATGTATTCTACTAGGAGAAAAGACAATAAACAAGTTAATCCTAGACAATGTGTGAGGAAGAAGAATAAAACAGCAAGAGGATGAGGAGTCACGAGGTAACGATCACTCTCAGGGCTACGTGACAGAGTAGGGAGGGAGTCAGTGCCAAGAGGTAACACTCGAGCACAGGCCTGAGATGTGAAGGTGCGAGCCATGGGGAGAACATGCCAGGTAACAGGAGCAGTAAGTGTAAAGGGCCGGAGGCGAATCGAGCTTGGTGTGTTTGAGGAACATGAAGGTTAGCGTGTAAAAGGTGCAGGAATGGTAGGAGATGAGTGAGAAGGACTGGCATCGCCTTACCCATAGGAACTTGCAGGCCACAGTCCGGAGGTCATGGGCTGGAGTGGAGACAGGGAGATCAGATCGGAGGTTGTTGAAATATGAAATCTGAGTAGAAATGACAGTACTTGGCAAAAGCAACTAATGGAATTGTGGATGAAAAGTGCAAGATCAAGTTTCCCTGCACCCTTTTATGTCAACATTTGAGTCTGGGTGACTTAAAAAAATGTGGTACCTGGAGGAGGAGTTTGGAAGAATGTTGGCTCAATTGTGGACATATTAGCGTTTCAAATGTTAAAGGGGAAGTTTCTGAGATTTTGGCACAAAAGGGAATGACTAATGGAGTATAGAACAGGACATAAGCATCAGTGGGTGCAAACTTGACGGGCACACAAGGATAAGTGGAATGTAGCAGCGAGAGGAGAGAAAATCTAGTAGTAGAGTTCTTGACTGTACAGCTAAGGAGATATATTTTGGTTCCCAATATTTAGAGAGAGTATAGAATTTTTCTTTCTCAACCTCTCAGGCGTTCTGAATTTCTCTCTTATTTCTTCTCTATTTTTAAATTTCTATCTCTATTCTCTAATTCCACTGTTAGCATTAAGGAGTTTGCTAAAAACTTACATGGTCGGGCTGGGAAAGTGAAGGCTCTGGGGAAGATAGGTTAAGAGGAGGACCTACGCTTTGGCATCTCCGGTTACAGTGATCAGGATGTTTCCTAGAGGGGCTGACAGGAGTGACTGAGTAAACTGAGTCCTTTCCAGAACAAGGTACGTTTGTACTCTAGTTCCCTCTGTCTCCCCTCCTAGCCTCTGTGTTTACCCAACCACATCCTGCTGTGTTAATTCTCATCTCTGTGCTTTTTGTCGTCTCATTATAAGGATTCATCAAACGCGAGGAAAAAGGCTTTGGAAACCGGGCACCGTTGTTCCAGCTCCTCTTCCCTCTCTATCATCCATGACCCTCCTGTGTTTCTCCTTGGTCCCCAACTCTACCCACCCCAACCACAGCTCCTGTCCCCAGAAGTCTTGATGCCCAGCATGGCAGGGGAGCCCCATAGACCCCCAGGTAACTCTCCCCAATCTAATATTGTATGCCAGAATATGGTACCTTTCCAGGGACCTAAAGGTTCAAATTAGTACACCTATGGTGTGTGTGTGTGTGTGTGTGTGTGTGTGTCCCAAGGTGGGATTGTAAAGGGATATGAATTACTGCTTTAAGGTCAAGCATTGACCTAGATGAACTGGATTGAATCATTTCTTGGGTAACATGGTTCTTAGACTAAGGTTCTAAAACCAGAGTTCCTAGAATCTAACTACCTGTGAAAATGAACTGCTTAGTCACGATAGGATAAGCTTTTAAGTGACCAAGGGTAGTTAATACCCAGTCTTTAGGATCCCTCCAAAACAGAAAGTATCATCTCTGTTAGTTTTCTCTCCTTCTATCCCCTAAGTCTCAGTTGAGGAATGGTGTAGGAGGACAAGGAGTGAATAGGAGACTTGGGAAGATGCTGTCCCTGGAATACCCACTGCCACATACACAGATCCAGACAATGCCGGGGAAGGTGGGCAGCTTCCTCCACAGTGAGATTTGCTGCTTGTCTTCCTCATGGGCTGACTGCAGTTTAAGGTAGTAATTCTCAATGGGAAAGGGGAGGTGATACTAGCATCTAGTTGGTAGAGGCCAGGGATGTTGCTAAACATCCTGCAATGCACAGGGCAGTCTCCATGCACTCCTTTATCCCCCAAAGAATTATCGGCCCAAAATATCTGAAGTTCCAAGGTTGAGAAACCTCGGCTTATGGATATAAATGCCCCAGGGTAGGGGGTGGTTGTGGTTGTGGTTGTAGAACAGAAGGTAGAGTAATTGTTGATATTTGTGTCCAAATTTTAGGGAACTTTGGACAAGCAGGTCTTCTGGATAGAGGACTTTCCATTACTCTGTGTAGCAGCCAGCTAGCCAGCTTCCTTGGACAGTTGTTAGGGGTGTCTGATCATATAGTCAGCATTTGCTGTAGCCTGTTCTGCACTAATGCTGCAGTGAATACAGAGAAGGAAGGCAGCTCTCTCTTCTTGTATAGAAAAGGCATTTCACATTGTATGCATGGGAGGAGTGGTATGAGTAAAAGCAGAGACCTCAGAATGTGCAGGAATGTAAGCAGAGACAGCTTAACTGGAGTGAAAGTACCATGTTGAGAAAATGAGTGATGTTTTAGAGGGTTGGCTCTTAGGAGGAGAGAGAGAGAAAGTGTGTGTGTGTTGAAGGATTATAGTGGAATGAGGATGAAGTATGGCAGCATCCAGGAGACAATTTTATTTGCCCAGGTGGGAGGTAAGATACTTGATTTTGATGTATATTAAGATTTTTTTAAAATGAAATTAAAAGCTAAGCTAGGCTCCTTCTTTCCCTGGTGGGTATGGTCTTAGAGGAATGGAAAGTTGGGAGGAATAGCCAGGAATGGTCCTCTGGGAAGGAGAATGGTTTACTGAAGATGCTCAATCTTTGGGTTTCTTTTGTCTTCCCAGGAACTTCAAGGAGTGTCCAGCCGTTTCTGGCTATGTGTGACAGGGGTGAAACTTCCCAAGGGGTCAAGTACGCAGGAACGACTTTGAACTACCGGAGTCTCCCCCATCGTACCAGAACAGATGCCTCTTGGGGACCATGGTCAGAGGCCAACCAGCATATTGGGGCTAGGTTCCTAACTACTCCAGGGTACAAACCTCAGCTAACCCACTCTGCCACACTACCAGAAAGACACCAGGGCCTTCATGTTCCTCATGCTCAGTCCTGGGGGGATCTTTTCCATTCACCCTCCCATCCTCCCATTGTTCACCCTGTGTCCCCACCATTAAGCAGTCTTCATGTACCCCTAAGGTCCGCTTGGAATTTGGGTCCTGTTCCAGGGTCTCGACCCCCTGGTCCTCGGAGAGTAGATATGCCCCCAGATGATGACTGGAGGCAAAGCAGTTATGCCCCACAATCTGGGCACAGGAGGACAGGAAGACAGGAGTTTCTGTTTGTTTTAGCAGATGCCCCTGGAAGAGAGCAGATCAGGGCTAGAGCCCTGCAGCACAGCAGGTGGTAAGGGTCACCCCTTTCCCTTCCTAGAGCCACAGCTTTCTCTGTAAACTGTACTGTGGCAGAGTTCGTACCCAACATCCCTGCCAGGGTTGTGCAAGTCTCATCTCATCACAGAGTTGGCAGTTTCTCCTAGGGGTGCCAGGAAACTTTAATGTGACGTGGCTCTTTGAGAAGGAATATTTGAAATTCCAATTTCCATCTACCTAGCAAAAGGAAGCAGCTGCTAGTTAGGGCTTTATTTGAGCCACTTTAAAGATGAATCCATGTTATTCTGGACACTGCCCATTCCTTAGGTCACCACTTTATTCCTGGATACTTTATGCCCCTACCTGTACCTGAGCCCTCATCCTGTTCCTCTACTATATTACCAAGTTCTATCCTTCGCTTTATCCACCTATGCCTATTACATGACTGTCTGTCTCCCCCATCCCCCATTCTTGGAGGGATGTAGCCCTGACCACAGGGCAGCCCATCTACCCAGGTATTATAGACTGTCAACATTCCCTGTGCCCCCAAACCTTAGGCCTAGAATGCAGAGCTGCCAACATAACATTTGCTCTCTGAACAGATGGAGTCAGGCGCACTAACACACTCTCCTGTCTCAGCAGCAGAGCCATTACTGCCACTTGCTCAGTCGCCGTTGTAAACCCTCAGAGTCAGCTGAACTATTTTAGGGCCAAACATACTGTTTTTGTAAAGTATTTTCATTAATAAATCTATAAGATAGTTCTATTTAATTCCTTGTCATTTAATTGTCTTTTTAAGCCCTTTTGTATGTTCTTGTTCTTTTGTATTGGGGTGGACTGGCCTGGATAAGCAAGAAATACCCATTCCCAGTGGCCTGGGCTCCCAAAGAGTGAGTCATGGCACAAACATACATATATATGTGAGAATGTTTGTGTGCGAACATATATGAATATAAATGTATACTTGTGTGTGTGTGTTTGTGTGTATGGCTTTTGACTGAGTGAAAGTGAGGACCCAAAGAGTTGAAGGACTGAAGGATAGTTGAAAGATATATATTCAAGGTAGGAGTTAATGTGCACTAAAATGGAGTGACTTTCCTTCTTATTGTTGCTGCTAGTATATTTCATACCCCTTTCCTGCCAAGAGGCACTAAATACATTACATACACGCTATCTCCTCCCCTTCTTAGGGAGATTTTCTAGAGATTCGAACTCCTAATTCACTCTTGATCTATATACTCTTGGTGCCCTCCCTCCGTAAGTTTGTGATGTGCCTCCTCTCCCTTCCTTGCTCTCTGCCCATGGTTGCTTCTCCCTTCCCTTCCCCTGTGGAATTATTGCACTTCCATGCCAAAAAGATCCATTTTCACCTCCGTCCCACTCCCAAATTCTCCTCCCTCTAAAAGATATTTTAGGGGCCCCCTTTGCAAAGAATACCTATTGGCCATTCCCCTTCTCTTTTACCCCAGGCCTCAGGATCATTGAGACTGACAAAAAGAAGAGGTAGAATGGTGCTCTTTGAGACCTTTGGATCACCATTATGAACAGATTCAGAGCACATGCAGTTCTGGGCAGGAGGATTGGCAGGAATTTCTCACTCCCACTTGCTTCCTATGCCATCAAGATACATACATCTTAGTAGATACGCTGCTCTCTATCCACGATTCATTACATCTGCTGGTGACACACACTACTAATAATTACTGATTGATAGCCAATCAGTTCTTGTTCCACTATCCCCTTCCCCGTGAATGTCCAGCCCTATGAAGGTTTCATTAGTTCCTCGATTCTTTATGTGCACAGAAACACCCTATGAGGTATTTCTTATGAGGAACTAATTTCCAATTCCCTACTTACTCCTCTGCCTTCCAAATCTAATTTTTGAATGAATCAAGGAGGTGTGTTTTTTCAGGTGAATTCTGTAGACTCTTGGAATATCTTTGGTGTCATCCCTTCCTTTCCCCTTACCTATTTGACTTTTAACCCTTGGAGCCTGATCTTTACCTGCATTCTTAACTCTGTGCCATCAGTCTCAACAATTCCAGGCTCTAAGCACAAGGGCCAGACTCTCTCTCAAACTCCACTTTGAATGGTCACTTCTCTGTAGACCTCTATGCCTCTTCTATTTCTCTTGCCCCTCACCAACCAGAGTACCCAGATCTGACTACCAAATTGTTATACACTTGTTTTTCTACTAGTAAGAGATTCTGAGGTTTCATCACGTCATCCCATCTTACTGGGAGCACCATGAGAGCTTGTGTCATGCTTCCTACCACTTAATCACGGCAGCAACTAGCTAGGCCCCTCACTCTTTGGTTTTTGCCTGCCCAGAATTTTAACTTGATCCCTTGGCCTCGTCCTCTTTCTCTAGCCTCAGTAATTTTGACCAAGTCCCTAGAGCCTGCCCCGCCCCCGCCCCCGCACGCGCGGTGCATGCCGGTCTTAGCCCCTCTGTAGGGAAAGAGGGTCCGCCATGTTCCCCGGCGGCGGCGCCGCTTGGCTCTG